ATATTTGTATCTTCTAAATAGCCTCTTCTTCTAACGCCTCATGTCGTACAAATAGAAACTTGGAATTTTTTTCTACTCCTTTGAAAGTTTTCTCAATTCTTAGTTACAATAATAATTGTGTTGACATCATCTCGAATTTGCAGCATATTAGTTAGCTTTTAGTAAAGCCATTTAATTAAATAGGTAGGTAAATCATTTGACAAAAGATCTGAAAGGAAGAGATTCTTTGAATGTAAATCGAAAATATAAATTTTAAAACATAATTGATACGTTATATTAGTTTAAAACAAACGATTTGCTTCTTAATTTTTGGATTTTTAAATAATTTAATGTTAATTATACTTATTTTTCTACCAGATAAACATTATCTATGGGCTACATGTGGGATGTTTTCTTATTAACCTCTTTCTTCTTTTATTCTTCGAGTCTGGCCTGAATGGCCGTTTACTTTTTTCTCTTGTCAACAGAGGCGGTTAGGAGAGAAAAATTAATTGAATTATTTTAATTAAAACGTAAATAATTAAATTATACAAGAAGAATTATAATAATTTATTATAAGTTAGTCATTTTTATTGTATCCCAACAAACAATGAGTTGCCGGGATATTGCTGGCTTTTGCTGTAATTGAAGCAAAAATGAATGCGATGATTAAAAAATAAAAGGCTACTTTTGTCCTTTTATTATGTTGGTTGATGAATGGGTGAGAGCCAGGTAAAAGTCAAAAGGCTTTTAACTGCCGCAGACCCAACCCTCCAACAGTCCAGGAGGGTTCCGTCCCGCGTTCATAGATGGAGACACCGATGATCACTTGCTACATACTCAATGAGTGGACATGAGGCCAGTTTGGGATTGACGCTACTTGGTGCTCACTATTCATTGTAATTTCTTGCTCATACATGTTATTAATTTAAAATATTTTATGAAAATACATTTTTTTAGAAGACATTTTATCTTTATTATATATTATATAGCTGAATTAAATAAAATGTCTACAATATTCTAGGTATATTGGAATGCATTCAGTTTTATATTTATACTTCAAACAGTACTGCTGGTCAAAGAGGCACTATCGAATTGTACCTGGCACATGGCCTTTATTAGCAGTCAGTATTAATATGATAAAGACCTGCAATTTCCCGTTAACTTTCTATCAATAGGCCATTAATTGCCAATATATTTATTTCAACACATTAAAGAGAAAACGGAGGTCTTTAACTTAATTTTATGTCTAACAAAGCCCGCTTATTAAATTTTTAAAATCTTTACATTATAATTCGTTGCTTGTTATAACTTTTTACCTATAATAAAATTTTGAAAATATTAATATAAATCATATTATTTTTCTTTTAAAATGTTTAAAAAATGAAACGACAACTTTTTTAACATACTAGTGCTGCTACTATACATTAATTACCTAAACCAACCCTGGCATCCAAAACGCATGTTTAGAAAAAAGTCATCAAGACTGAAAATAATTAAAATTGGCAACACCTATGCCATACCAATTTAAAGGTCCAAGGTCATATAATCTCATTTCTAAATCTCTTGATCTTCTGCCGGGTTTCGCATCTGTTGTGGTTAATCTGTGGCGAAGATTCGGACATCACGTGTTATTATCTATTGGTTGTTGAAGATTAGCTGTATGGCGGAAAGAAAGGGTAACGTAATCATTTTGAGAATTTCGGAACAATCTAGAAAGGCCAGAGACGGCTCTAGTCATAACAAAACAAATGACGTGGGCACAATGTTGCAGTGTTTTACCAAACACATTCAACAAAAATAGATAGCGGTAAACTACTCCCGAAATACTGGTTCGTTTTCACTTAAAATCACCGAAATCATTACAAATTTCCTCGAAAATTTCACAATCATCATAAAAAATCATGGTCGAAATCATCGCAGAAATCAATTCGTCGCTCGAAACCGTAAATGTCGAGAAAAAACATCGTATAAAATTAAAGGGGATTTTCAGTGAAATCACGGAAATCACATAAAACGTTTTTATGTGATTTCCTAAATACAGGTACGTTTTGACCTTAGTGGTTTCCCCCCGGTTCTGGCCTTTATCTTGTTTTGGCAGAAACACTATTGGAAATAGAAATATATTTAGCAAAAATAAGTTTTATGCCTATTATCTGGTTTTAGTAGACACACTTAGCAATTAAACACAATGGTATGATTATGTTTTGGTATAAATGCCCCTCCATCTTGTTTATGCATATTGTTAATTATTATGAAGTAAGTTTTTATTGGCTATCTGTTTATCATAAGTATAGACTTCGTTCACAATTGTAGAAAGTGTACCTACTTAACTTGAAAATTCCAAACGTTTATTTAAAAATTAGCGTGCTATTTAGCACTGCGACCAATAATAGTGTTTCGGGCCGCAAAAAAGCTTGGAAGGCCACATGCGATCCGCAAGCCGCAGGTGAAGTATGGCTGCATTAAGTGGTGTTGCAAAAAAATAAAATGGTAGCGTCAATTTAAAATTTACTGATAGTATAATTTAAAATTTTTGTAGTGGTCGATGTGTATTTAAAAAAAATAGTAATACCTATAATAAAAATTATTTTTTTTACTTTGACAGTCAGTACAATTGTTTACAAACCTAAACCGCTTGATGGCAATTAGGCGGTACTTTGCGCATTTAATGTAATTGCAACATCATTATATTCTCTAATAAACCAAATGTCAACAACTTCATATAAATGTCAGTTTGAAATTAAAATTATTTCATACAATTCTGTATTAGATTTTTATTTCTAAATCATTTGTAAGTATTTAACATAACTCCTGGATTTGTGAAAGCAGATTCGGGTATTTTCCCATTTCACAATAACAAAAATAATGCAAAAATTGAAACTCAAAATACAACGCTTAAACTAAAAATTGATTTGTGTTAGAATATGTCGTTAACTTGGATTTTAAAACCATAAATGTCAAATAAGTTAGAACAAAAATACAAACCTCTGAAGTAATTTATGCAATAAGAGAAGAAAACACAATTTATTTTAAAATATTTGGCATGGTTGTAACAATTTTCGGTTATTTTATAGGGTAAATTAAGGCGGAAAAATTTATCAAAAATGGTTTCATAATCCCAAATTTCTTAAAAATGCTTAACTAAAAAGATAAGTCAATGTTTTATTGTTAAAATAATCACTAAATAATTGTTTCGACGTAATTTAGATTAAAAATTCCGATGCGTTATTATAGTCCATTGCAGAGCAATGCCTAATAGTTTTAAAATTTGTATAGATATGTATAATATAGCTAATACAGATAAAAACAAAATTTAATGTTTAATACTTTCCTCTAAATTTAAATAATAATTAAATAACATTCTCAAAAACTACCAAATTTTTAGGAGTTCATCATACTGTACTTTCTCCACGGCCACAGATACAATGAAATATTTAATCTAATAATATAACTTTTTTTTTAAAGAATAATGATCGAAAAGAAAATTGATCGAAAATAGATTTGATAGAAAAATCAATTAAGCGAAAAACCAAATATTCATAAAATTATAGAAAAATAAGATAAATGAAAACAAAAATTTTAACTAATTTACCTAACCTCTGCGGCCTAGAATCATCGCTGGTTGCTTTGCAAAAACAAAAAAATGAAAAAATAAAATAAACTTGGGTAACGTACCTAACTTACCTAACTTGTGCGAGATCAATCAAGTAAATTTGAATAGTACAGGTTAGGTAAATTAGTATTTTTTATTTTTATAATTTTGTTTGCGATGCAAACCGCGACGTTTCCAGACTGGAGCAATTTAATTGATTGCTCTGACACAGGTTCGGTAAGTTAATTAAGTTTTTTAATAGTAAATAAAAATAAAGAAAACCTAACTAATTTACCTAACCTGTGCGGCTTGGAGCAATTTAACTAATTGCTCTGACAGAGGTTAGGTAAGTTAGTTAGGATTTTTAAAAACTTAACTAACCGCGTGTGATTTAGGCTGCACAAGGTAGGTGAATTATTTAAATTTTTTATAATAAAAAACTAAACTTACTTACGCGAGAGAAATCAGTTAAATTTAAATAGCGCAGGTTAGGTAAATTAGTTAAGTTTTTTATTTTTCCCTTTTTTGTATAATTTTCTTTTGCTAAGCAACCCTCGAGTGCTCTAGGCCGCACACGTTAGGTAAATTAGTTAAAAATGTTGTTTGAATTTTCATATTTTTTCTACAATTTTTTTTGCGAGGCAAACCGCGACGGCTTCAGATTGCACAGTAGGGTGGAGCGAAAAATAGAAGTTTCGAAAATCGTTTTGGAATAGTGCGCAAAAGTTGCCAATTGGTATTACAAAACTAATGTTTATTTTCGGATTTTCAAAATTTTTTCATCTTCTGCCCTCTACCGGGCTTTGACAAAATAAAAAAAATAAAATATCCAAAGGTTGGTAGAGGGCAGAAGAAGAAAAAATTTTGAAAAACCGAAAATAAACATTAGTTCTGTAATAACAATTGGCAACTTTTGCGCACTATTCCAAAACGATTTTCGAAACTTAGATTTTTTGCCTTATTTATTAATTTTTCTTTTTTTATTAATATTGATACTGAGAGTTAACGTTACGGCAAACAGAGTAGTTCTTCGCTTGTTTAAACAATATTCGATTTATATACAAAACATAAATATTGAATATTGAGTATTGTTTAAACAACCCAGAACTCACCACGGGGAGGTATCTGCTCGACGAGTTCCATCCCACTCTCCCTTATTAATTTCGATTATTTATTGTTTATAGTCTTTTTTGAGTCAAATTTTGGCAGAAGTTTGTGCGAATCTATTTTTGCTTTAATAAAACTGTCTCTTTTTTGTGACCCAACAACTGATAAAGATGCTTCTGTAACAAGTTTCACATATTTCTCTACTGATTGGGTGTGACAGGAAAATGCAGCGATGTCGATGATTTTTTTCAGGAGAACCGGAAATAATATTTTTCAAATCATCCACTTCTAAAGTTTGAAGCATTGGAGAACAATTTATTTAATTTTTTTGCCAATCAATCAGATCAACATAGTCATCTGCGTCAAAATTAATTTGTGGAATAATAAAAGGTCTGACATTGGTTGAATTAATATTGCCCTTAGTTTTTGCATTCACAATACGACGAAGTGCAAGTTCTTTTGTATGAGGGCGAGTGTCATGCAGCATACATTTTAGAAGATTTTCCGGATAAACAAAATAGGCATTTCTTTGAATTACAGGGTTTATTACTTTTTTCAAATCTACTCTAGGCTTTATCGTTTGTAAAACATGCTTTGCACCATTTACACATGATGAGTTGCTTTTAATTTGAAACCACAAAGGACTATAAACCTTGACAATAAATTTGGTCAGTTCCTTTAATTCTGAGGTTGGATTTATGGTACTTGCATAAAGACGTGATTTGTGATTGGCCAAAGTAAGCCATCGAGAATGACTTAACTTTGCTGGGCTTCGGTTCAATAAATCCACGGAGCACTTCCCTGTAAAAACTGCAACACAAATTTCAAACATATTTTTTTGATCTGCACTTAAGTCAAGGAAATCTACTTCTGGTAACTGACAGTCAATAATGTTATAGTTTACAATTGGCATATTTTCGCACTGCACTATTTGCTTTCCTACAATTCCTGCTAAAGCTCTTGGACCCATAGTTTGACCGTCCAGCTTCTGAAAAAGATGCCTTAAAGGTAATTCATTAGCGTAAAAGCTGACAGACAAATCTTTGTAAAGGGCGTCCTAATTATAATTCTAGTTGAGGAATTGCACCATTTTTTCCCGTATTCACCACGGTACCGTCACATCCTACTGCCACTAGTTTTTCTAGATTATATCCATTACTATCTAAGAAGTTGACAATACTATGACGAATGCTTAGAGCCGATCCAGAAAGGGGTACTGTGTGACCTAAAAATATAGAGCCCTTGTACTAAAGAAATGTGTCCTTTGAGTATGGTTTTTCTGTGGTAATTGCCTTCAATATTTTCGATTACGAAGGTTTTATCTTTCCTTCCGTCAAAGTATATGGCTTTCAAAGTTTCTGGGGAGTTTTGCGTAAAACTTTTTCTTGATTGCTCTCTTGCTCTTCTCAGCTTACTTCTGTCTATTACGTTTTTTTATTGGCATTTGAAACAATTCTAAGGTCGTGTAGCACTGCAGTTGCCACTGCTGCTGCAGAATTATCCGATAATCCATAGCGGTCACAAACTTTGGTCAAGGTAGGAAGTTTGACGTAATTTTGTGTACACTACATATCTATATTGATACTGTGATAGGAAGTGGAAGGCAATTCATGATCTATCTTGATATCAGTTTCTAGCTTTCGCTTCCTTGATTTATTGATGTTGCTTGCATGTTGGACGGATTGTTCTAGTTCTTTCCTTTGCATAAATTTGTCCATTCTTCTGCCCTTATTTATCCGATTTGAGGTTTCCTTTACATCAATGTTTCCAATAATCATTTTTCTAGGCCCCCTCTGATCCATTCATTTTTAGGTATCTTTTTTCCTTATCGCAAGAACATTGTTTAAAAATGTCGCATTTGCAAGCCACTGTATATAAAGCGAAAAATGTTATAAATTAATAATTTTATTATACAGAATATATCTTAAAATTAAATGGCTTAAATTTGAGTAATAATTCCAGCATTTTTTTTTAGTCTATTTTTTGTAATTTTTCAATGGCTGGTAGAGGGCAGACGATGAGATTTGATCAAAAAGTTGTATTTATACATTTTTGTCAAAATTATAAAAGGTAACTTTTGGTAGGTATTCCAAAACGATTTTTTTAAATTTTTAAAATTTTGCGATTATCGCTCCACCCTATACCACAGGTTAGGTAAATTAATTAAATTTTTTATATAAAAAAAACTTTAAATAATTTCAAAAAAGAGGTAAATAAACAAGGGTGGTCCTTAAGATCTCACAAGAGTAATTTAATACGACCTCTTTTTTGAACATATAATAATAATAATAATAAATGCTTTTATTGGCCAAACTAAGTACCTAATACAAAGAAAGAAAAAAAATATATATAAATACAAATAGTTTGCCAAATGGCAGAGTTCAAAATCTCTGATAAAAATCAGAGTTTTGCTCTTCCACTCAACCAGTATTATGATAGACATACCTATACATCTTTCGATGTATAGATGTGCCCTGCATGTTTACTTAATAATTATTCAATCTAGCGCACAATATGGCTTTACGAATATGAGAGAAAAAAATATTGAAAATCCAAAACCGTAAACAACTTAACATCTTAACTTTAAAAATAAAAAAATAAAAATCAGCCAGATGAGTAAGAACCAGTAAGTATATTGTCACGCTTAACGGTTAGGGGGTGGTAATTATTCTTTTTAATGTGATTAGGGGTCCTCGCTTGGCCTGAGAGGTAAAAATAGACACTCACCCACTTCCGCTAAGCGCGCTCTAGCCGATGTTAATCTCAAAAAGCTCAGATTAACTTCTTGGTTTAGAAGGAATCTGCGCCACTTAAGATAAACCTCGGGTGACTTAAATTACCGTATAAGGAACTAAACTAGTAATAATAGAAACACCATGTATAAAAAATTCACAAACACTTTATTAAATGTCCGTAATTAAAGGACTCAAAAGACAATCAAAAATCGATATAATAATAGTAATAAAATTTGGGGTCCTTACCTCATTGTCATGGAGCAGTCACAATTTTTACTTTACTTTATTTTATTTTATTTTATCCCCAGAAATATTTATTAGTATTTATTTTGTATAATTATATTTTTATGTTATATATATTTTACAAACCCCAATTATTTTCTCTGTGATCGATTGCGACCAGCTTTTTTGCCGTGCCGCAAAACTCTCAATGACCCCCTAAAATAAACCGACTAGGTTCGATTTCGCAAGACTTCCAAAATCGTCGAGTCAGCACAAAGTTCATTAGTTTTTAACTTAATTGTTATGAAACTATGAAATGCATTCTCTACGATTTAAAAGTATTTCGAAATCGACCTACTATTCAGAAATAATTTAACATACAGGATGTTAAATTATTTACTGAGCCGAATGAAAATAAATTAATTCAATTTAAGGAATAATTGTGACATGCCTCCCCTCCAAGAAAACCGGACCCCGGTTTTAAAAGTGACAAATATGTTGTCATACAAATGTGTAAAAGAAAAGGGTATATACAATACATACAAAAGAAATATATATATAAAAAAAAAAACAAATTATTTAAAAATGAATAGGTAAATATATGAATTGTCTAGTTGAATAGAAAAAAATATTCACTAATTCCAAAAAAAAATAAATTACTACACAAGTCTTTTTATTCTTACGCTCACTCACACACTTGTTTTTTCGTAAAATCCATCTCTCAATTAATGTTTGACCGATTTGCACACTATTGGACACTGAAGGTAAGTCCGTCCCTGGCACATCTCAATTCTGTTTCGGTGTTCCCTTCTCGGTACTGACAGATGAGATGAACAGAATTCTTCTTTTTTCTTATTGGCTCTGCCTGAACCGCTTAAGTATTTTATCGTCCCGAAGAGAGTTGTCCAAAAATAATTTAATTTCCCATGAATAATCCTTGGAAATCAAATAAATGTGACATCCCAGGTCCTCTCGGTATGCTCCATTTGATTGTGTTTCTATTCAGTTGGGATGGAAGAAGTTTTAGGATGGCTGCACAGACACTAAATACCGGTGATCTGTGACTAGAATTGTGGGTAGAAGAAGAATTAGATAAAATAAATTATAAATATGCATGCAAAATTGCCATGCTTTTTTGGAAAGATTTTGGGTGTAAAAACTAAAAATAGTTTCAATTTAAAAGGAAGAGTTAAATTCGGGATGATTCTCAAGAAAAAGAAATTCCTTGGAGAAGGTTTCAGTGCTGTAACTGCTTTTCCATTGTGAATCTGGTTGTTGTTTTTTGAAAAGAAATTGGTGACTAACTGCTATCCAGGATCCTGGTACCTGTGTAATAGGACCGGGTTACTAGGTCAGAAGAGTCCTGCTTATGTGCCATTTGTTGTGCATAGTTCTTCAGTGAACTTTTGCTTCCTCTAGGGGCAAGTGGAGAGATGTTCTTTCCGGGGTGTGTGGTGATACAATCATGCGTATATGAAACAAAAACAAAACGAGTAAGTATAATTTAAGATTTGATTTATCTTGTTATTTATTATCTAGTTAACCTAGGGTTTGTTACAAAGATTAAAGTAATAATTTTATCACTTAACCCCAAAAAAAAATTCCTACATCTAAGTACAGCCCAAAAAAATTTTTTACAATAAAACTATATTGTACTTAGATAATAGATTATTCCCTCTTAACATGGACACAATATAAGTCCTGATACAAAAGTTTATTTTAAAAAGTTAATGTACATTATATGATTTAGTTTTGATAAAGGAGATAAAAAATTATGTATTGACAAGTGTTTTCGTACTACCTTTAGTTAGTACTTAATTGTTTTCATTTAAACAATTTTAGACTTTATGTTCAAAATATTTTTAAAGTTGTAGGTGGTTATTTTTATTTTTATTTTCTAATGCTATATATTAATTATTTGAGGTACATATTGGTTTTTTAATAATTCTACTCCTAAGTGTACAACTATTAATCTATCTACTATTTCCCAGAATTAATTACCACGAATTCTAACAATTATAACCCTTATCTATATTTATTTACCTATATACTATTTTCCAGAAAAAATATATTGGTTTTTTAATAATTCTACCCCTAAGTGTACATCTATTTATCTAGCTACTATTTCCCAGAATTTATTACCATTTAATTTTCATTGTTATTTGGCACCCGACTAAATGTGCTATTTTAGATATCCCTTAAAATTGACACAAAAGTTTTTCTTTATATTACCTACTTATCTTTTTCTATTTTTCATTTATTATAAACTTTCTATCTTTTCGCTGTGTCCCCTTAATATCGATTAAACAAAAATTAATGTATCATTCATTCATTGTCCCTAACTAATATTCCAAAAGTTATTCTGCCTTAATTACCCTATTATATAATTGAGGATATATAAAAAAATTAAAATTATCTGCAGTTTCATTTTTGTAGATATATTCTTTTAGTTTTAATTTTAATAATGAAACGATGTATGTGGATTTTAATTATTTTCTTATTAAACTATTATTTTTTACTTATTCATTTTTTGATTTTATATTTTATTGTTTATAGATCTATTCCTATTGAAAGTTTCCTTCTCCAATTTTATATACTTTTCTTAATCCTATATTTTATTTTCACTTTCTTTTGCCAATAGCAAAATATTTTTTAATGTCCTTTATTCACGTTACTCATAAACAAAGTTGACCTTTTGTTTGTTCCTCGACAACTATATTTTTCTTAACCCTAACTGTTTTTTCTTAACTCTAACTTAACAAGGATATAGGCTTCAGCTGTTTTACGAGCATATCTTCCAGCCTTTCCCTTGTGTATAGTAGGACTAACAGTTTTCCTAACGAAACATTTTAGTTTTCTTAATAGCTATAATTCTTTTTATGCAATGACAAGGATATAGGCTTCAGCTTTTTGTAAGCATATCTTCCAGCCTTTCCCTTGTGTATAGTAGGACTAACAGTTTTCCTAACGAAACATTTTATTTTTCTTAATAGCTATAACTGTTTTACTGCAATGACAAGGATATAAGCTT